GGGGGGGGGGGGGGGGGGGTTATGGGAACAGAGGTAGAAGGGTGGTGTCTTAAGATGGTTAGAAAAAAGAATGTAACTTTGTTTATATTCGTTGTTTTACAATAACAGATAAAGACAAACAGCTGATTGATTGATTCGTTTTTAGAATGAACTGTTGTTGTTGTTGATTGTATCTAACAATTCGTCTCAGATCAATCAGATATGATCATACATCCGAGCAGGATCTTTTGTCGTTGATAGACATTGTGAGAACATGTCAATATTTTTGAGCTGCTGTGTAATTATTACACTGAGCATTACCTAATAAATAAACAGTTAATGTTGCAGACATGATGACTGTCCAAGTTGTTTCAACCTCTCTGTGCATCTGTCTGTTTATAGCTAAGGTAAGTGCTGTGCTGTAATCCCATTATTGGATTAGACTTTCTCCTGCGGGCTAAATGGCACACCCACCGGGACCAGTGCAGCTAAACCTAACACTCACAGATGGAGAAACTACAGTGTCACTAATTAGACACCACTAAAAACATATTTAACTTATGTGTATTAGGTATACACTATATTCTAACCAGCTCATGGCAATAAAATGTTTTATGAATGAAAAAAGAAAAGGTCATAATATAGGGTCAGTATCCGGAGATTACTTTCATTGGAGATTCACTTGTTTGGTCCATTAAACATCAGAAAGTAATGATAACATCCGGGGCTTTAGGAGTTTATCTCTTACGGTTGCTTATTTTGTCTGAATTTTTCTCATTACCAAGATATTTAGTTAATGGCAATATGACGATGAGGGGAAAAAGCAAATCTCACTTTTATGAATCTGATTATCATACGTTGTACTTTAATAACAATTTAAAGAAAGATATGTTTTCTGTGATTTTCAAAACCACGTCCTTATAAGTAAATGATTTGCATGAAAAAGGTTTAGTAGAGGTTGTGTGGATTTGTGTGCATGTTGGCATAACATGAAAGATGTTGCTGGACACTGCTGGAGCACTTTGTCTGCTCAATGTGCTTGGATGGGAACCAGCTCCCTCTTCCCATAGCACGAACTTTTCCTCCCTACAGTTCAGCAAAATTTAAAACATTAAATTGACAGATTGGCTTGTCAGATTAAACAAAAACATTCATCATGCCACATTTTGCACAAACTATAGTAGCAAATACTGTGCAATGTGATGTAATGGTGTCTGTCTCTGTTCTGCTCCACAGGGATCAAACCCATAGAGGGAAGAACAGTGGATGGAAGAGAGAGAGAGACGGAGAGTGTGAAGAGGAAGGAGGATAAGAAAATACAAGACTGGACAAAAGGTGAGTGAAGGCGTCAGGGACATCTGTCAGGAGCTGCTGTGTTCGGAATACAAAACAAAAACATTCAACAGGGGATTTTGGGGATTGTCTTTTACAGTCTGTTTAATTTGAGTCATTAATTTGCACAACACGACATGATCCCACACCACAATAAAAATGTTATTGCTCAGCCCTATGTCCACTTAATTAAAATGATTTGTTATTAAAAGATAGTCATCCTCTGTTTAATTTAGCACCTGTTGCTTCTATGATGTCAACCTCTGTTCACCCTGCACCAAGCTCTTTATCTACAATATCCTATGTGCCTTTAGAACAGTAAGATCCAACTCTCATAGTGTTCAGTAGGCCCTGCAGTTCTGCACAATAAGCAAAGAAATGATTAATATTGCATATCAACAGAATTGTTCTGCAGGTGGTAAAAATGAACACTGCAATCTTAAAATAGATTTACTAGCCTCCGAGCTGCAGTTTAGAGTAGAAACATGAATCTGGCAACACATGATAAGAACTGGCTCAGTGTTAAATACTCGAGCATGTTAGACTCCAAAAAGAAAATCCACAAACTGCTTGGCCCACAACATGAAAAACCAACACTTATTTGAGACTATTTGTTTTCTTAAGCTTACAAGACTTTTAAAATATTTAAATGTTTTATTTTGCTAACATTTCATCCTCCCTGTATAGTCTGGGTCAGGTCTCTGTCATCTATCCCACTAGCGCAGTGTGCTCTGCTCTTATAACACCCAAGGTCTACTTGCCATGTGACGGAGTGTTTTCCATTGAATTGCTCTTTCAGTTTCCATAGTCTCCTGTTGGTACGAGCCTACCTCTTTTACAGCCGCGACTGCTGTCATGGTTAGCGTAGGCAGGAAGTCTGATAGCGTATATCTCTGACCTTAAGCGTGTCTTTTGAGTTTCAATTGCTCTCTCTGTCTCAGTTTTTGTTTTCACTCCTCCGCCGTCGTCCTACTTTGTCTTTCTCTTCGTCTGACCCTCAGACTGCGTAGTTAGATTTGGTGATGTGTCTCTTTGCAAACAGATGAGTTGAGCTCTCTGTAGTACCAGACTGTGAAATCACAAAGCCATTTATTGTCATGGAAGCTCTTCCCCCAGATAATAGTTATACAGTAACAGGAGTGTAATCATTGTGCTTCTCAAAGGTGTTGATACTACAGCAAGAGCCTATAAGCTAATTTAACTTCAGTTTTGTGCATCTCAGTTCAGTTATAGATAGATAGATAGACAGACATACTTTGTGTTCAGTTATGTCTTGAATCCAGTGGGAATGTGAGAGTTTAATGCAGATTTTTCATCCCACTCACTTACAGAACTGCACAGATGAATTATTTAGCAGATTGTCAGAATTGTATCTACACCACTTGTAGGAATTGATTCATTTAAGATCATTTTATGCAAAATAAGCTCTAATTGAGGCCCTTTGGATTTGGGATTTTGTTTTTTGTGTGGCAAAACAAGCGATCGTATTTGACTCTTTTCACTGTTGAATAAAAACCTAAGTGTGCATTAAGCAGTGTTTGGATTGTGACTCTTAATTCATACTTTATCAGTGTGATAATTTATATTATTAAGCTCGGCTGATGGAATCTCCAGTCACTTAACAATAATGGAAAATAACCTATGAACACCGGCTCGTAATCAGCCGAGTGACTGGTAGAGTAGGTAGAAGTGCTATACACTTAAAATAGTGTGGCTCGGTGCAGAAACATGAACTTGGTAATACATGATAAGAACTGGAAAGAAAAACATGTTGAACTACGAGGTAAATGTACTCACTGCGAATGTTGAAGGTTTCTTGGAACGCCTGGTGGCAAATATTACCAGTCTGGGTGGAGGTGGGCAGGTGTCCGTGAAATCAAATGGATGACTGAATAATAGACAAATCAGCTAATGAGTCATAAGCAAAATGTTAAGTTTGTGCACATTGCCCTTAGTTTTAGTTCGGTTTGTTGGGGGCCACTCCTAACCACTCCCAGCATTCATGTGACAGCGGTGGAACATATCACGAATGCATCTATCTGCTCATGTACACACTTGCACTGCACATGTAAACTTTTGCAGTGCATACTGTTTTGAAAGTGAAGCAGATGTGTAGCACAGTCGTCGCCCATGGATTGCACCTCCTCATGTTGGTCTCACATGAAACCAGGGAAGCGTCAGCAGGAAATATGCAGAATCTCAGCTCTCACTCTAGCACAGTGTTCTCCTCGGCTTTTATGTTGAGTGGTTGTGTATATTTGAGAGAGCAACACTGGCATGTGCTTCTTGCACTGATTAAATCTCTGTCTGACAAGTCCAGAGGAGTTGGGAGTGTTTAGGAATGTTGCCACGACAACAAGGTCTTCCCTAACTTTTGCCTTAACAAGTTACTTCAGCGGAAGAAAATGCATTCAAGATGGCCTGCTCAGAGAAAGATAAATTTAAGCAAGTTTAAAGACAATCCGATTAATGGTAATTTTCAATCTTTTAAGATGCGCTGTGCGGTATAAAGTGTATACAACTTACGGCTGTAATGCACCTTGATTTTGGTTGCAACCCGTAAAATAAACCAGACAAAGAGGAAGAAGATAAAGGAAACCAGCTAAGTAAAATGTCTGTGAGCTTGAGGAGTAAGAATATGCTTTTAAAGCTGGAGCCAATTTATAAACACAGCGCTGAACACGTAGGATCAGAAGATGAGGAAACATGTCCATGTATGAGAAGTGTTTTCTCCAGTGCAGCATTTATCAGACGTGCACTGTAGGAATGAGTTCTTCAGCCATCTTTTTCATACCACATGTTTATGTGGATATATTTTCAACATGAAGGTTTGTCGCTGAAGGCCGGTGGAGTTTTCCTTTCATGCAAATGATAAAAAAAAGTCTACTTTGGGGAACAAAGCATAACGCTTGAAATAGATTTTGCAGTTGCATAGCAACAGGCGGACACGTGAAAAGTGCCTGTAGCAGAACAAGATGTTCAGATGATAGTTCAGTTGCACCGGTGTTTAAGATGGTCGGGTCAATCGTTTGAGAGCACATACAATGCAATGTTTTTCCATTAACTATCCTTAGTAGCAGGGAGGTATAGATTCTCCAGTCATTTTTTTTGTATCGATTTCAAAGAAATAGTGTAGTCTTATAAAACAAGACCCATTTAAGCCAATATTTATGATACATGTCATTATAAATATATGTGAATGTTAATGCAAGAGATTCTGAGAACAAGCAAGAAAACAGGACCCGAACACTTGATCAGTTTTTCCTTTACCACTATTCAAGGATTCATTAAGCTACACATCCCTTTGTTTCTTTGCTGCTTCTTCTTCTCGAAGGGAGTACACATTGTACTGGATTCATGTGCTGCTGACTTCAGGAAGTTGACCTCTTTGCTTTTTATACATGTTCGAAGCTGCAGCTGCATTCCTCTCCCATCATCCTCAGTGACAGCCTCTTTGCCTCTTTGTCCCTCCTCAAACACATTTCCCTTCCCTCTCAAGGCTGGCTGATATGACTTAAAATCAATATCGCAATTATTTCAAAACTTCTCATTTATTTTATGCCTAACTTCTGATTAGTGTTGGGGAAACCCGACAGTTTGTGAAGGCACGGTTTTGGGAAAGTATTAACCGACATGAGCAAAATGAAGTTGTGAGAGGTTGTAAATGTCAGTTTCCATACATTTTCGGTTGATTAATGCTCTCACTCATCTTATTCCTCCTCTTTACCTTGGTATCGTCTGTTTTTTTCTGCCTATTCTTTTGTTTCTTTCTTCCCTACTTCAGCTACACTCACTGTGTTTGTGTCTTGTCCCCATACCGTCCCTCCACCCCCCACAACCCTCTCCGCCTGTAAGATGATAGCAGTGGAACTGCTGCCAACTCCAGGGGCCCTCATGAAAGCCCTTCTCAGATAGAAGCAGGGAGAAGGGAACAAACTGTACTCTGTACTGAGTAGCAGCAGTGAACATGCTCTCACACACACACACACACACA